CTGTGCGGTCCATGGACCAAGTCAGCGCGCCCTGTTGCCCTCGGATGTCCTCAACGCGTACCTCGACGAGCACGGCGACGACGCGCTTTTACCGGAGTGGGGACGAGGGTTCTCGCTCTACGACACCGGCAAAGCACGAACGCCTCGTGCGTTTGCTCCGCCTCCCGCGGGGCCGCTCGAGCAAGCTCCAGCGGCCGCTTTGGCTCGAGCGCACGGCGGGATCAATTTCGTCGCGCCACCGTCGCACGCCGGCGAGCCGCTGCGCTATCACGCGCTTGGCCTCAAGGCGACGACGGTGCTGATGGGCTACACCGCCGATCGCTTCACGCGGTCACCCGGCCTCGCGAACAACTTTGCAGCGTCCTGGAGAGCGCTCGGAAACACGATCGAACGCAAATCGTTGGCTTCGATCGTTTCGCCTTGGATCGTCGCGCTCAAAGCGGCACTGCTAAGATCGAACGCACACGCGTCGTAGCAAAACATCATCAGAGACGGACTCGCCAGCTCAATCTACCTACGCTCGCGCACCTGGTGTTTATCCTGCCTCCCGCTCAACCCTTTCGAATCGATCGAGCCTCCCTCCCCCTCGCCGACCCCCTCGCGAGACTGCTAGTCACCATCGGACACCCAGCAGCCCGCCTCAAACTAAGCCGAACGAAACGTCAACTGGCCGGCACCCGTGTCGACACGGCGTCCTAGTCCTAAAGCATTAGTCCGTGTCACGGCTGCGCGCGCGTCGGCTCGTCGCGGCTGCCGGTTCGAACCGGATCGTTGTGAACGCGCCGACTAGCTCGTCGGGCATCCGCCCGAGAGGGCATCTCAGCCACAGCGGAATGAATTATTACCAGCGCGACGAGCCGGGTAGGGAGTCGCGCGAGACGGCGCCGCCGTTGGCGCGTGAGAGGATGCGTAGGACAACTCCGCCATCGTCGGAACCCAACTACCTAGCGTCGGCGACCGCGCGACGGCGGTGCCTCCATGTCCACTCTGATCGGAGCAGTCGTCAAACAGTCACGGGGCGGTACGTGCACGTCGTCGTCTGCACGACGAGGTTCGCGACGGCGTCGAACAGGACGACGTAGTCAGTGTCGGTGGGGTACAAGATGTTGTGGAACATGTCGACGTCGACGCTGTCGTAAACGCCGAAATCTCCGGACCGGCGCCGCAGGCATCCTATGATCTGCAGCGACTGCGTGCACGCGCCTGCGACGGCGAGCGAAATCGATTACTCGGGCAAGACGGGACCTCGAAGGCGCTCCGCCAGCGCATCGCCGAAGAAAAACACGAGATCATCGTCGTCGGCAAGTTCGATGTCTCGCACCGTTTCGGCGTACACCAACACTTTTAGAAGGTTGGCGCCTTCTATGTTGCGCACGATTAGGTAGTGTATCAACGCGACCAGCTCATTCAACGCGATACGTTCGCGGTTGTAGTCCGGCAGTGCGAGAGGCTCCCATTTGCGAGGCATAGCTGCGGAATGCAATTAAAGGCACGATGCCGTCACTTACGCGACTTCACCGCAGCCGAATATGAAGCGAGACATGATCCGTGACCTCGCCGGGCTCCAGCAGAAAATGTACGCTGACGGATGGACCAAGGAGGAGAAGCAGCGGGGCGGCGACTCGACGCACGTCGACAAGTATTACCGCCCGCCCGCGAGCATCGGCGGCAAGCGCTGCCGGTCCATCCTCGAGGTCGCGCGCGCCGCCTACCCGTCGCACCTCGTCGCAGCCGCCGTCGCCGACGACGACTGGGTCCCCGCGGCCAAGGAGCTCGTCGAGGCCTTTTGCGGCCAGTACGGCCGCTGGTACACCGCCAAGGTCGTCAAGGTCGACGCGGCCGCCGGCAAGGCGACGGTCCACTACTGCAACTGGAGTATGGGCTTCGACTCGGCGCTCGCGTTCCGGCTCCTGCGGCGCGACGACGGCACGCTCGACGCGACCAAGGACAAGACGGGATCCGCCGTGTCGCGCGTCACGGGCGAGGCGACGCCGCGCGGCCCCGCGAAGAAGGCCAAGGGCCGCGCGGCCGACGACGACGACGAGCGCGCCGCCGCGCCGCCGCGCGCGACACCGGCGCGCGCTGCGCCGAAGCGCGCGGCGCCGAAGCGCGCGCCGCGCCGCGCGGCCGCGAAGTCCGCGCGCGCGGCCGAAGCTGCCGCCGCCGCCGCCAACGACGGCG